TGAGACACTGTTTCAGAAAAACAAACAAACAAAAGAAATTTTATTCAGATGTCTCTTAGGTAATTTTGGCACAAGTGCTGTACATAGGAGATTTCTGCCTCTGTCCCTATCCCCCTCTCTTTCTCTTTCTCTTTCTCTTTCTCTTTCTCTTTCTCTTTCTCTTTCTCTTTCTCTTTTTCTCTTTTTCTCTCTCCCACCCAACGTCTCTCCTCTCTGAACCTCTTTCTTTGAGAGAATTCATTCATGTGTTCATTCAACTAATAAAAATGAAAAGTCTGAATCTGCCCAGTGCTTGCTGTGCATCAGCCACGGTGCTGAGTGCTCTGCTCATATGAACTCATTCTGTCCAGGCAACAAGCCTATTATCCAGTTGACAGGTGAGGAAATACAAGGGCAGAGAAGTTAAGTGCTTTGCCCAAGGTCATGCAGACAGTAAGTATCAGAATTACAATGCAAACCTATAATTGTCTGGTTCTGAAACAGTGATTGTAACACCCTCCTGATGCTTGTGGTTTGGCAAGGTGGACACCACTGGTCCCAGCAGATAGTAATACTAAATCTGTATTGCCACAAATCTCTGAAATAAGCCTCCATCACTAAAGGTTACCTGTCTTCAGCTTTTCCTGGTGACTCCATTGAGTCATGAGCCTGGACTTCCAGGAATCTTTTGGTTTCCATCTTATTCCTCCTCACGACTGAGCAATTCTTTGGTTCTGCAGTCATAATCATTCATTCGTTCATCTTTGTCCTTCTCATGTTTCCACAAGAAATTATTCATTGGTAGATGAATTATTCAGTAGTAGAAATTTCAGTGGCAAAAATTATTCAGTGGTACAAATTATTCATTCTACTACTCTTTTAATAAACACTTACTGAGTACTTGCTACGAGCTACTGTTTGTGGTGGGTGCTAAGTGGTGGGACACAGTAGTATGAAGGAGAGGTAAATTCACTGTCCTCATGAAGCTCATGATCTGACAAGAAAGACAAAACAAATATGTATGAATGCTTGGATGAATAAACAGCGATGGCATGCAAATGCAGTGGAATATTATCCAACCATAAACAGGGAAGACATACTGATCTGTGCTAGTATGTGGCTTACTCCCGAAAACATGATAACAAGTGAAAAAAGCCCGATGTGAAAGGTCACAACATTATAGGACTCCATTTATATGACACACCCACGACAGGCAAATCTTTAGAGACAGAAAGCACACTGATGATTACTAGGAACTGAGGAAAGAGGGTAATGGAAATGACTGCTAATGGGAATGGAATTTAATCTGGAATTGATTAAAAAGCATCAAAATTAGAAGTGGTGGTTGGACAACATTATGAATGTACTAAGTGCCTCAGGACTATACACTTTTAAATCATTTTCTTAATAAGGATTCCATCTCAAAAAAAAAAAAAAATCAAATGGGGACAGCTTGCAATTGGTGCCACTCATTCTTTCATGGATACTAAAAGACCTAATCAGTGCCATGAGCATGGCGTGAACATTCAAGACTAGCAGGCTGCTCTCAAGACTCCAAGGCAGGTGAGCAGAGACCAAAAATTTTAAAGTAAATAAATTAATGGTTAAGGAATTTCAGATAGTGGTGAGTGCTATGAAGTCACTAAAAGAAATGTAAGATGAAGACGCCTACTTTTGACTGGTCAAGGAAGGTCTTTCTGAAGGAAACTGCACTAGTCCATTTTCTATTGTTATAACAAAACACTAGCTTGTTGGGGTTCATTGTTGTTGTTGTTGTTGTTGTTGTTGTTGTTGTTGTCATTTTGTACCAGGGATCAAACTCATGATTTTATGTTTTCCAGGCAAGTGCTTCTGCTCTGAGCTATCTCCCTGGCCCCTTAAAGCTGGCTGGGTTTTTTTTGACATAATTTTATTGATAAGCTGGCTATTTTTAAAGAGAGGTTTTCATGCATAGCTTTAGAGGCTAAAAGTCCAAGATCAGGGAGTTCCATCTACTCAGTCTTGGATAAGGCTGCATCACAAGATGGCAGGCAAAGAGGAGAGGGAAAGACTACATGGAAAAGAGCACACACGCAGGACTGGAATCCAAAGGATTCAGGGTCAGCTCTCTTGGATAACAAGTGCAGAACTAACCAGGATCCCATGATACCTACATTCATCTCCTCCAAGGACAAACCATCTCTTAAAGTTTCTAAACCTCACAACACTGCTATAGACTTCCAGCACCTGAACTCTCTTTTCTGCAGTACCTGGGATCAAACTTAAGACCTTGCACTTGCCAAGAAGAAGCTTATGGCATTGAACCATCTCCTCAGCCCCTGAACTCTTAAAGGACAAGTCTCATCTAACCCAGAGGAGACACCAAAGAATAGCAGACCACTGAAGATGCCAGGGAGCCAGAAAAAAAAAATCTTAAGGGAAAAAAGGACACAATCAAAAGAGTAACAGTAAGTGGAGCTGGGGTGAGAAATAGAAGGCAAATTAGTTCACGAAGGTTTTTAAATAGGCAGATTATGTACGACCTTGTGAAAAGTGTTTAGACTTTAAGTCTAATGAGGTTTACTGAAAGGTTTTAAGTAAGACTGTGATGTACTCAAGATTAAAACATCACCATTAGCTGTGGTATGAAGAACGGATTTAAAGAAGCCAAGAGAATCAAATTAAGGAAGAAAACCAGGTCAATGATATATGATTCCAGTGATCTGATTGGGGATGAATTTTAAAGGTAGGGCAGGCAAAACTTCTTGATGGATAGAATGTGACAGCTAAAAAATTAAGGGGGACACCTATATTGCTTTTTGTTTTGTTTTGTTTTGTTTTACTTCTTAGTTTTTAACGTGAGTATCTGGGGTGGATCGGGTACCAACTATCAAGTCAAAGAACACTGGAAGAGATTCATCAAGTTTGCTTTGGTGCTTGCTAAGTTTGACACTGGAAAGAAACAAACAAGATGGAAACAAACAAAGTAATCTGATGGAAAAATATAGAGAATGGAGAGGAGGAATAGTTGTCTTTTGATTCTCCCAGACTCTCATCTGCTTCCCAGGAGAAAGGAAGTGGTGAGATACATAGGCTTCCTTCCATCATAGAAACTGGCAGTTTAGCCATGACTTGCTCTCCCTCCCAGCCCAGCACTGCATGTGACACAGACTTAGCCAAACAAGTGAAACTACCTCACACCTTGTGAACCAAACAAGCAAACAGCAAAACCACAGAGAATAGCTACAGGAAGAGATGCATTCCCAAGGAGAAGTAGACATAGATTAGTTATCTGCAAAGATATCTTCAGCATGTGGGTCACTAAGAGCTTTGCTTTGTTCCTTTTGTCTGGTTTTTGGTTTTTGGTTTCTGGTTTTTGGTTTAGAGCCTTATGTTTGTGATATATAATGAATACAGTCAGCCTGGGGAGCTGGTATTTCTTAAACATAACACATCTCAGACCTTTTTGCTTCTTCTCCTGTCTCTCCCTTTACTCTTCTCTCCCTCCATTCCTAGAGTCCCTTTCCATCTACACAAGGTGTGTCTCCCTACTTTTTATTCTGATCTTTAAATTATTTGCATTTTTGGTTTCTCATATATGAGAAATCATAATATTTAACCTTCTGTGTCTAATTTACTTTGTTTAACATTATGGTTTCCAGGTGCATCCATTTCCCTACCCATGACTCAGATTTGTCCTCCCTTATGCCAGTACTCCACTGTGTAGTAATTATACCACATCTTATGCATTCTTTTATCTGTTGGTGGACATGTAGTATATTTCCAAGATTTCGCTATGGTGAGCTGCACCTTTAGAAGCCTGCGTTTGCGTGGATCACTATGCTGGCTTTTGGGAAAGACATGCAGACAAGGTATAGCTGGATCAATATTTTGTTTGTTCTCAAATTTTTTTGGCTGTAATCTGATCATGAGGCCACTTCTGACTTTCACTAAAAATCCTGAGTGTTAGGAATGAGTAGGGTTTAGTCTTCATGTTAGGGAAAAATACTTAAACAGGCTCTGAAATTGAAAAGAAGCCAGTCATTAAAAGGAGTTTTCCACACAGAAAGAATAAGCTCTAAAATTTGAATTGGGAAAGCGTTTAGGTTAAGAGCTAGATGAAGGACTATTTTACTGAAAAGTGTTTATTCTAAAGTGCTTTGAAGGGGGCCTGCCCCTTAGCTCAGTTCTTTAAGTGGCTGCTTCAACAAAGCAGTCAGGCTCCTGTTGCTGTGGTTCGATCCCCACAACTCAAGCCAGCCAAACCTGCCCTGAAGGCATTCGGAGCAAAAAACTTAAAATAAAATAAAGTGCTTTCTCCTTGATGCTATTATAAATGAAACTGTTATACTTTAATTTTATTTTTGGGTATAGTTTAAAATATATAATTGATATCTGCAACCAATTTTGTATTTTTCTACTTTCTAAGGGGCCAGGGAGTTAGCACAGTGGCATAAGCGCCTGCCTGGCAAATGCAATGTCCAGAGTTCAATCCCTGGTACCACCATAAATAAACTATAAAATAAAATAAAATAAAATTAATCCATTGGGGCCGAGGAGATGCCTCAGTGGAATAAGTGCTTCCCTGGCAAGCGCAAGGGCCTGAGCTCAATTCCCGGTTCCACCAAAAAAGTAAATTAATTAATTAAATAAACCTTAAATCAACTTTCTAAGTTTCCTAGTCACAATAGTTTTTACTGGATTCCTTAGCATTTCTATATCCAAGATCATGTGGTCTGCAAGTAAGATTTGCTTTCCTTCTTTCAAAATAGTAATAATGAAGCTACAGCCAGAGGTAATCAGCTTTCCCCACAGCAATCCAAAGCTCCGCAGAACTCCAAAGCAAAGACCGACTCCCACCCTACTCCCTGCCTGTCCCCTCCCCCACCCCGGAACGCCATCTGCTTTGTTGTCTCCGTAGCCATGGTGATGAGCACATTAGTTTGTTCGTTCCACAGGCCAGGACTCAGTCGTGTGTGTTTGGAGAGGCACCGGTCTGCTGCCTGGGGACCCCGGGCCAAGACCAGCAGCAAGCAGAAACTATGCCTGTGTTACTGGCCCCAGCTGAACGCAGCCAGGACACCCGCGTGGGGGCCCCGGAATGGCGCGAAGCGGCGCACGCCGTGTCTCAACAGGCCCACATGGTCACCGACCGCCGCGGGCAGGAGGCGGTGACCATGTGGCAGCCGGCAGACAGCGTGCGCGACCCGCACGTGGCGCGCCACCTCTGCCGCGCCGCCTACATCGAGCCTTGGCGCTTCCGCGTGGAGATGCTCAAAGGGGGCACCACCATGGAAAAGCCGCCGCCGGGAGAGGGAGTCACGCTGTGGAAGAGCAAGATGAAGCCCCCGGCCTGGAACGCGCTCCTACCGCTGCCCCTGCTCCGCGACGTGCGCGCCTTGCAAACTGCAGAGGTGGCGCAGGCGCAGGCGCGGGGCGCGCGCCTCACCGCCGCCCGCCTCTGCAGAGCTCAGCAGCAGATCAACGCGCAGCTGCAGCTGCTGCAGCGCCAGCGCGAGGCTACAGATCACAGGCTCAGCGAAGTGCGCAAGGGCCTGCTCGTCAACGCGCAGAGTGTCAAGCTGCGGAGCTACCGGCCAGAGCCGGAGAAGGTGGGAGATTTTCCCATCCCCAGACCTGGTGGCAAAAACTGAAGGCTTCCAGGGAGCTGGGAGTTTACACACTCAGTGGTAGCACACTCACGTCGCATGCACAGGGCAGTGGATTTGACCATTGCCCAAATCCAGGCGGTAGAGGTTCAAGATGCAGATACAGGCCCGGGAAATAGCTCATCTGCATAAGCGCCTACCTGGCAAGTGCAAGGTCCCCAGTTCGATCCCCAGTATGGGGTGGGGGGGATACAGCATACCCCACCCACCAAGTCCCAAAGAGTGAGACCACACCACAAACAAATGTGGTTTAGTTCTTTTCCCCCCAAGAGAAAAATAAAATCTGTTCCAATCCCCTAGCCAAGGAGAGAGCGTGGGATCCCTGACTGAAAGAATCTTCCCATAGAAAATGTATGTATACACAATGGAATACTGCTTGGCCATAAACAAGGATATATTTGAGGCACTTGTAGAAAAATGGATGCACTTTAAGACCATAATGTTAAGTGAAATGAGAAGTTTAACTACCATTTTTCTCTTATATGAAAAGCCTAATGGGTAAATATTTAAAGAGCAAAATAAAAGAGAAAGGAAATAGATGCATCTGTGGCAAATAGGAAGGAGACCAAGACACGGAGGGGGAGAGGGCAAGGAAAGCCTTTGACTTGCGTTACCTGCATATTCCAGCTCTTCAAAATGGATGTGGTCATTACATCCTGCCAACATGTACTAGCACAGTTTTTTAAAGTTAAAAGAAAAATTAAAAAGAACATCTTTCCGAAGAGTAAACGTCATAATCCCTGCCAAGCCCCAGCATAAAATCACCCACTCAGCTCCCAAATCCAGAAGATAAGAACTTTCCCTAGTATGTTTTGGTTTTGTCTTTTTGAGACAGAGTGTCCCTAGGCAGTTCAGGCTGGCTCAATTTGAGTTCACTTTGTAGCCTTAAACTCACAGTGATCCTCCTTCAGCTGCCCGAGTGCTGGCATTACAGGCGTGCTCCATCATGCCCAATTTTCCCTAGTATGTGACTCTGAATGTCCTTGTAGCTAGGAGGGATATAAGACCCATTTTAAGCAGTGGCAACAAACCTCTCCCAAGTTCAGTCACCTCTGTAAACAAGAGAAGCCTCCAGCCCCAGACTTCAGAAAATAAGATTCCCCAAGTGAGCATCCCTAAAAGTATCAAATCTTATCGGGCAATGAGACAGACAGACAGACAGACACACACACACACACACACACACACACACACACACACACCCCAAGTGTAAAGTTTCCTCCAACTTCATCCTCCAAGTCCACAGTTTATGAAGTTGGCATGCCCTTCTCTACCCTAGAAAGAGAATTCTTCCTCAGGTCTCTATCCTTGAGAGCAATTCTCCTTGGTTTCTAGGTCCCTGACAAAGCAGACCGCATGCTTACATGGGAGAAAGAGGAACTGCGGTCCATGAAGAGAAAAATGGAGAAAGATATGGAAAAATCAGAGACCCTGCTCAAGGTATGGATTACCTGGGCCCAAGTTGTGGGGGCTGGAGAGAGCTTGCCACATGCCCAGTACACAAACTGCTCTGCCCCTGGGGGCCATAGCAACAATCTGCCCACCCAGACTGACTTGACACTCATCACATCTCCCTTTTGCAAAGTGGGGAAACTGAAGTCCTGAGAGATATTGTCCTTGGGTTTCAGGATAAAAGTGAGCTCCACATTGTTAACCATTGAACTCCTAAACTCTCCCTTGAAATAGCAGCTTTGATCCTCCTTTTAGAGTTGGGAACATAGGCTCAAAGACCAGATGACCTCACCTGGGACCTGGAGCCTGGGGCCAGCTAGTGGCAGGGATGAGGTCTCAGTTTGTCTATTGAGTTTAGCTTTTCATCTTCTCCATGAGCTCCATCTTCTCTCACTGCATCCTTGAAAACCAGTTAGCTGGTAACCTAATTCTGTGTGCTTTTGACTCGGCCATGTGGCACATATTAATCCAGCACCCCACTGTCCCAGGCACTGTGTTTGGCATTGGTGACAAGGTAAAGAGCAGATCAGAGCTGACCTGGCAGAGGTCACATTCAAGAGGTATTCAAAAAGGAAGGAGGCAGACATTTGGGGGGACAGGACTGTAAAAATGAATGTCACCTGTGGTGGCAAATTGCAGTTGGGGACGTTCCCTAACCACCATACATTCCTTGAAGTCTGGAGATTCCTAAAACATCCTTCTAACCAGCCTGAAATGGACAAGGAAAAAGGTCATGAGGGTGGGCAAAGGATGAGGGGCTCCAAAGAGAGAAAGGAGAACAGAAAGTTGAGAAAAGACCACTGCAGACAGAAACAGATCTGGAGTAAATAAGTAGAAAAGCACAGGGTTTAAATATTCTCTGCTCAACAAAAAAGGTATGTAAGGTGATGAAAATATTCATTAGCTTATATACTCATTCTAAAATGCATACTTATATCAAAAGCATTATATTGTGCCTCATAAACTATATATACTATCATTATTTCCCAATTAAAATGAAAACTTAAATGAGAAATAATGCATTTGGTTGTTGCAGAGTCTCACTACACAGCAGACTCGTAGTGATCCCCAGCACTGGGAGTACAGGTATACGCCACTATTCCTGGATTCTGGCTGGCTCAGCCCACCCTGGGGGTGGGACCAGCATGGTGTGTGGTGCCGGAGATTGAACTTCAGTCCATGTGCTTGCCTAAGTTGCCTAATCAGGCACTTTAGTCTGCTGAGCTATCTCACCGTCCCGTAATCGAGAAATAAATGAAAAAGACCTCAGAACTTGTTCTATGAGGGCCAAAAAAAAAAATTCTTTCTTATAAAATATAGATTTGTTGTTTTTAAAAGAGATTTCCTAGCTGGACATGAAAGTACACACCTGTCATCTTAGTTTTCAGGAGGATAAGGCAGGGAAAGTGTCACAGCTCATAGCTAGCTTCAGCTACTAGTGAGTTCAAGGCAGCCTGGACTACATAGCAAGGCTCTGTCTCAAGAAGAAGAAGAAGGAGAAAAAGGAAGAGGAGGAGGAGGAGGAGGAGCATTAGGGGCAGGAGGAGGAGAGGAAAGAGAAGGAAGAGGAAGAGAATTAGGAGAAGGAGGGGGAGAAGAAGAAGGAGGACGAGGAGGATTAGGAGCAGGAGGAGGAAGAGGAAGGAAAAAGAGGAGAAGCATTAGGAGCAGGAGGAGGAGAGGAGGGAGAAGTAGGAGGATTAGGAACAGGAGGAAGAAGAGGAAAAGGAGGAGGAGGAAGAGGAGGAGGAAGTTGGGCAAATGAATTAAATAATAAGACATTTCCATTAGAATCAGACCTTTCACAAGGATCTGCAGTGAGGATGAAAGGAAATGCTAGGGGCAGAGCTCAGGGGCAGAGCACCCACTTAGCAGGTATAAGGCCTTAGGTTCAACCCTCAGCACCAGCAAGAGAAAAGAATCTAGGCAGACCCCTTTTATAGGCAAAACTGTTTCTGCAGGCTTTAAGGCTCACACAGCAACCCCTGCAGAGAAATCCTCTTTCCCCAGCTGCCTCTACGTTGTGGCTCAGGCTCACCTCCTTCCCCCAGAGTCTGGCATCCTGCAGAGACACACTGGGCTTCTACTGCAAAGAAAGGCTGCAGGCCGTGGAACTCATGAACCAGCCACTGGACAAGATTCTGGAGCAGGCCGGCCGCCACTCCTGGGTGGACCTCTCTCGCATGCCCACCCCACGCACGCAGGGACAGAAGACGCCTCCTCCAGACCCCGTGGGCACCTACACCCCAGGTAGACCCCACGGGAAGGATTCCATGATAGTGTGTATCACCGACTGAACACCCCTTTGCCTGCTTAACAACTCCCTCACCTGGGGAATAGCAAGCTAATCTCAGCTCTCTTACTGAGTGCCCCCTGGACAGCCCCAGTTTCATACACAGGGTTTGGGGGTTTGTTTTGGTTTGGGTTTTTTTGTTTGTTTGTTTTTTGTTGGTTTGTTTTGACAGTAGGGATTGAACCCCAAGTCTTTGCATTAAGCTACATCTTTGGCACACACACACACACACACACACACACACACACACACACATACCACATACACACACCTTTCTTTAAATTTTAACACAGTTTCTCCATAAGGCACTAAATTCCCAGGTTGAGCTCAAACTTGTGATCCTCCTGCCTCATCCTCCCAGACAACCATGCACCAACAAGCCTGGTTTCATTCACAGCTTCTGCTTCACTTAGGGAAACCAGTCCAAGACGCAGGTCTACTAATTAGCTTTGAGTTTTGCCAGTCCCTCCATAAAGTCCCCTCACCTGTAGCCCACAAGTGCCTGAGAATACTGGTCAAGGGTGAGCAGAAGCCAGGGACTGGGGAAACCGAGCTTGGCAAGTGAACAGTCTCCTATGTTCCCAGAGTGCTCAGTAGCTCTGAACGATGCCAAGCGGTTGTTGATGGAGTCCAAGGAAACCTTGGCAGAAATGGCCAAAAATGAGTCGGATGTCAGGGAGCAACAGCAGAAGATAAACAACGGTGTATGCACCACACTGGCTCAGAAAATACAGGAGACCTTGGAGCTGAAGGTGTGCACAGTGGTGGCAGGGGCAGCAGGAGCAGGCAAGGACAAGAGGGGGCCCAGGACAGAGGTGGGGGACCTGGAGCCAGAACAAAACCCCTGCACCCCCTCACACCTAGGAAAAATTGAATATGTCATTAGGACTGATGAGGGGAACTATTCACCGGTGCACAAAGTTTAACCAAGAGATGTACATCACCCGAGGCCTGATCAAAGTAAGGGCAGGGAGAGCCTGTGGGTGGGGGCAGGGTGCTGGGGCACTCTGGGCCTCACTGCTCGGCACACTGAACTCGGCCAGGGCCCTCTGTTGGAGTGTCACCTGGAGACTCGAGAAAAACTGAACAGACCCCTGGTTCGCGTGTACCAGAGACACATAGGCACTCAACTCCCTGAGGCTGCGCGTCTGGCACAGGTGCGTCCCCCTCCTCGCTTCCCCCTTTGGCACCTCCCTACCATATCTAGGTGCAGCCCCACCCTAGCAAAGCTGCTTCCTCCAGCACATCTGTTCAGGTAAGACTCCTCACCCAGATCAGCCCCCAAGGACACACACACACACACACACACACACACACACACACACACTTTTATGGTAGGGCCTCACCCTCTGTGTGGTCCAGATGGTTCTCCATCCAAGGTCATCCCACCCCTCACACTCCAGGTGGATCCTCTCTCTCAATCCACCCTGTTGCCTACGTTCCTCATCTGGCACATCTGGCCCCGGTGTCTGTCTTTCCCCTCCCCCTCTAAGCCCCTTATGAAGTGCACCACTCCTGGCCTGCTGCTTCCCAAAAAAGGGCACACCAGCCCCAGTGTGACTCCTCATCATAGGCCCGCCCCACCTGTCACGCTCCTTCCACCCACACACCTAGATCAGGCGTGTCAGCCCATCCCAGGTTGCGCCTCACGCTCCCACCCCCTCTCCAGGGCACCAACCAGCTACAGCGCCACATCCTGCACATGGAAAAGAACCTGAAGGAGCTGCTTGCTGTGCGCAATAAACTCTCCTGGAGCCACAACTGCAAGAAGGTTGGGCATGAAGTAGACCACAGTGTGGTGCGCTTGCGCCGTCGCCAGCAGCATCCGCACATGTGCTACCAGGAGGCGCAGTGCCTGGTAGATGACTGTGACCTACGCGCCCAGCCACCAGCACGCAGCAAGGCCAGCCCTGTGCCCAAGTGATGTTCCTGTGTCCCTAACCACCCTGCCTACTTGTTCCCGTGGGCTGGGCCCTGGGGACAGGAGGCTGCCTGCTCAGTGGCCCACCCTCTTCTCACATTCGCTTTTTCCTCCACTTGAATTATAATTTAAAATCCTAATTATCATTCATTAGATACCTAAGTGTATGTCAGTCACTTACCTTACAAGTGTGTCCTCCAAGTGAACAAATCTTCGAATGGATCTGGGAACCAGATTGTAGGGATTCAAAACCAGGCTCTCCAGTTTGTACCTCATGTCCTTAAGCAAGTGAGCCAGTGTCCTCCTCTGACCCCAGAGAACCTGTAAAATGAGAAGCAACCTGGCAGGCACCTCACCTAGCTGTAGAAGGATAGAGGTGCTCCTAAGGCTGGTAGCATGGCTGCTACATCTCCTCTATCTCCAGCAAATTTAAGCTGTTGTTATCAGCACCTTCCTTTTAATGTTGAAGAAACAGAGGTGCAGAGAGGGTAAGCAGCTTGCTTACGGTCACACAGTGCATAGTAAAGCTGACATTTCCATTGCTGATGTTGGAGTCTGTGCCCTAAGGAGGTCCACCATGTGCCCTGCTCTGACCTAACCCCCAGGAGCTCAAAGGGAGCCAGATGCTAACTTTGCAGCCATGAACAAGGTTGATGTGGTCCCTACCTCCAAGACATCTCGAGTTGACTCAGTGGTGTCAACATCATCTTTGGGGTGAGGCTGTCAGGGGCCACCTCAGGAAAGCCTCCCTTGATTGCACTTACTCACGCATGGCTAGCTCGGTTCTTCCTGCATAGTTCCAAGACCTCATGGCCACCAGCACAGAACACTTCAGAGCTGTGGTTACTGTCTGAGCTCCCCAAGAAGATCCCAAAGAGAAGAAGATGTTCTTTGCAGCCACAAAACAGTTGGCCCACGCACACCCACAAGCTCTGTATCCATGAGTTCGAGCAAACCAGAACTGAAATCTTCAGGGGAAAAAAAATGCATCTAGTTAAACATGTACAGAATTTTTTTTCTTGTCTTTATTCCCTAAACAACACAGTATAATTTTTTTTTAGCACTGGGGATCAAAGCCAGGGGGACTCCACTACTGAGCTACATGCCAGCCCCCTTCCTTTCTGAAACAAAGTCTTCCTAAGTTGCATTGGTGCGACTCACATATGATCTTCCTGCATCAGCCTCCCTCAGTGCTAGGATTACAGCACCCAGCTCAGTATAACAATGACTAACATTACAGTAGGTATGTGTGTTGTCCAGAGGTGATTTATCTCTATCTAAGTCATGCACAAGGTTTTATGCAAATACAACACCATTTCATGTGTAGTCCTCAGACATCTTTGGGCTTTGGTGTCAACGGGGCTCTGGGAACTAATGCCTATAGATACCAAAGGATGACTGCATTTCCTAAGCAATTCCTCTATACGGGGCTGTGTGAGATGCTGGGCACTCATCAGGCACTAACCCACACACATCCCTCCCTCATGGAAATGACAGAGCATAGGCAAAGAATAGCCTCACCAATCTCGGTCTTTTGGGCAAAGCCAGCCAGCCAATCCACACATGCACTAGCATTTCATGGGGAAGGAAATGAAGTTCAGAGAAGTAAAGTCAACTTGCCCCATGTTAAAATGCTGGTGAAGGATAAAACAGAAATGCAGCCCGGGGCAGGTTCCATGCCCTCTCTTGCTTCCCACAGTGAGCAGGGAGCAGTGAGACCCTCATCATCATGGGTCTCCAAGACAACCCCATGGGGATGAGGTCAGTTGTGCCCAATCAGTATGACAATGCTTGTCAAAGTGTGAGCCCCATCATGTCCAAGTTGGGGCTCAAAGCAGCTGTACATGTCTCAGAACTGCTGAGTATTATAGCCAACTGCTTTATCTCAAGAGGGACACCACAGCCTGTGGGGTACAAGGGCTCCCACTTCTGCACAACCATCCTTCCCTCCCAGCACTTTTTCCCCGTACTGGTCAGAACAGAAACCAGAAGCAAACAGCATACTCCATTTGAGTGGATTTAATAAAGGTACGAGAGTCTGTCCTCATTAATCACATATGCCATATTTGTGAATCCATGTGTTCACTGAAGAATCAACGATGGTGTTGTGGCCATTTGCAGACATGCACAACACAGTGAGAAATCCTAGCCATCTGACATTTCATTCTCCCCCAGGTGGGACTGAATGTGGTGATGTCTCCCTTGCTTATTTCAGCCCTATTATGATAAACAAACTGTACTGGGGTCTACTGGCAACCAAAGGGTTAAAACCCTTACTGGCAGAACTCCAATTAAAGACATCCCTAGACAGCCACAAAAATATTAATGTAGCTTCATGCATTTCTCCCAAGCAGTCTTAATCTATCTTTACTAAAAGATACAAATAGACCTCTTTATCACCTCCTTCATCTAAAACTAGGGTCTTCTATAAGCCAGAGGAAAATGGTCTGGGCAAAATTGCAACTGTAAAACCAATGATGTTAAACATAAAGCAGATGTTCCTGGAAGTCTACAGGGTGCTTGAGGACCCAGGAAAAGACACTCTTTAGATAATCACACTGGCTGCTCATTTCACAACCCCTGACTCATAAAAACAGTGATGATGTAGCTCCTTTCTGGGAACCTCACCCACCATCTCTCCTGACAGGGTCTCCTGACCTAAATTAACTCATCTTTTCCATGTTCCTGGGCCATTGGTGAGTTCTTTTTACCACCTACATCACCAACCCTCCAGATGCTGTTTTGCACCATCTGCCTTTGTATTTTTGTTTCTTGTTGCTTATTCTGCTGTTTAAACTGTCCCTGGATATAGTACCAAAATGTGTATAGGCAAATGTCCCTGTGGGGGAGAAATCATTTGTGTCTGATAAGCTTCATTCAGGCATGATTTACAGGACCTTATCTCAAGAGGGATATGTGCGTAGGGCTGGTGGCCGGCAGCTCCATGTGAATGAATCAACCATGTGTATGTTAAGTACCTTTAAACAAAAACATATAAAACAAGATTGCATTGAGCCGTTGACAGAAATGTCAGAACCACAGACTGACAGAAATCTAAATCTGTGTTTCTCTGGAGAGCCATGATTTTGTACTTACTGGTTCAGTGTTTAAGCCAACTTCATAGAACATAGCTACAGTGAGTAACAAGAATTGACTATGTAGGCAAAGATGTGGGTAGCACTGTAGGGAACCCTCAAGGGATAGGCAGTATCAAAGCACTGATAAAGGTGGAGTGTCTTTCCTAAAGGGAAAAGGGAGAGAAGCTCTTAGGAAATAAACAGCCAATGGCAAAGCTGCAGTGTAGACACTGGGAAATAAATATCCCTACTCCCTCTTTCTCCTTTGGTCCAGGTTTTTTATTTGAGAAGGAGTTGTTTTGTTTCATTTTGTTTTGTTTTTTGACTACTTCAGGCTGTCGTAAGGGCTGGTCTGGTACAGCTTCTGGAGCTGGGAATCGAACCGTGGTCCTGTGCACCTGCCTGCATTTACCCAAGTGGTGCTTTGAACAACTGAGCTATCTGGCAGGTTTTTTATTGATAGAATCAACCTATAACTTTTGAGTCCTGTCTTTATTTAGGAACTCAGTAATAAATCCAGAGCCTTCACTTCATGCCCTGAAACTTGCAGTGTTCCCACCTCAGTCTCCCAGAATGCTGGGATTAGAGGTGTGCACCACACCTGCTTTGAGTCTTTTTCCATGCACTTCCACCCATTCAGATTCCCAGAACCTTGCATAGAAATGCTAATGCTCCTTTGCTAGCCATGCTTTGCTCTATAGGTTGCAGCCTACCACTGTCTTCCTGACTGATTCAGCCCATGCAGTGTTCCCGAATAGCATTTGCATAATTCCCCCGCATGTTGCCTCAGAGCCAAGGTTTCAGCTGCTTCTCCAGTGTGAGATACTGGCACTCAGAAGCCTCCAGTGATGCCACAGGGTGGGTGTCATCCTCCACATGTTCAATATGATGAAATAGGCTCTGAAGAGTGGGAAGATTTGTGTATGCCACCTAGCACGTACAGGGCTTAGTCTGGACTTCAGAGACCGTAGTAGCAAGGGCACAGGAGTAGAAAGCAAAAATTGACAAATAAGATTAAATTAAAAGGCTTCTGCACAGCAAAGGAAACAGTCAACTGAGTGAAGAGACAGCCCATAGAACAAGAGAAAATACTTGCCAACTATTCATCTGGCAGAAGGTTGGTATCCAGAAGACAGGAAGAGCTCAAAAAGCTTGAAGAAACAAATGATACAATTTAAAACTGGGCAACTGATCTGAACAAATACTTCTCAAAGGAAGAAAAACAAATGGCCAACAAATATAGGCAAAGATGCTCAATATCATTAGCCATCAGGGAAATGCAAGTGAAAACTTTGGTAAGATACAATCCCACACAACTAGAAAGGCAACTATCAAAAAAGAAAATGTTTGCAAAATGGTGAAGGAAAAGGAACCCTTATACACTTTTGGGGGGGTGTGGATTAGTACAACTACAATGGAAAAGAGTACGGCAGTTCCTCAGAAACCTAGAAGTGAAACTACCCTAGGAACCAGCTGTCCCGCTCCTGGGTGTTTATTCAAAGGAAATGAAATGAACACAGCAAAGAGATACCTGCACACTTGTCTTTGTTGCTGCACTATTGACAATAGCCAAAATATGGACTCAGACTAGGTGCCCATCAACAGATAAGTGGATGGAAAGAAAGCTTGATATATAATGGAGTATCAGGCAGGCATAATGAATGAAATACTGTCATTTGCAGAAAAGTGGACATACATGGAAGTCATTGCATTAAGTGAAAAAAAACACACTGAGACAGACAGATACTACATGTTCCCCCTCATATGTGGAAGCTGAAAAGAGCCCAAAGAGTAATAATTCTAGCTGAGCACTGGGAAAGCTGGGGCAGGGGGTCCCTGAAAGAGAGGCTAGATTCAATCAGTGCATTACAGGAATATCACACTGAACTTGATAATGTGTAAAATTAAAACATATCAATAACAAAA